ATTCCGCCATGTGCCACTTTTTGGGTAAAACCGAAACGCAATTTTCACCGTTACATACCATTAAATCGATCATTGTCATATCCTACAGCTCTAAATCTAACACGACACGATAAGGTTTATAATAACGCAATTAGATCGCAGGCAAAAAAAACAACATATTTATTATTTTTGGTTGTGCAGGTGTAACATTGCGGATTTGAGGAATAATTAGGTTCTCAAAGAGAATTTCGAATTACATTAATATGATGACATAAAATATTAAAGGCCCCTGGGTCTTCGTCACATCTGGCTTTTATTGTAAAACGAAACTGTGCGGGTCTTATTTGCATTTGAATTTCATTACTCTTAAATTGCTTTTAACAACTTTCCGGGTCAAAACTTGCCGTATTTTAATTTATTTTCCATTTTTTCAACGCAGGCTCAGTTTATTAAATTAGAATATATTACTTGGAAGAACTTTCCCGGATGCCCCCCGTCGTGTCTTCTTTACTCAACTTTCGTTTCACCCATGCTTTAAATACGAAACGCACCCATTCTTACGGCCATGAGTCTTGACAGGTACGAAATGAAATGGAGTATTCCATATGGAGTAGCCTTTTCTCCATTAAACTACTGGAAAAAGCGATCCACGAATCCCAACTTGCAAAGCTTCAGGGCAGTTGATTTAAATAGTCAGTGTAATTACCAACTTTCGAGCGAACTTTATTGAAACCATTAGAAGCAGTTAGAACTGATAATTTAAGAGACAAATAACATTTTGTGGGCGGATTTTGCTAAATTCACAGTCACAGGTTGGTAGCGAATTTGCAGATTATTTTAGATCTAATATTTACAGTCTTGCAATTAATTTATGTGGGAGTCTGCTGATGTAAATAGAGATGGGTTTAATTGGGTAATTGGGATCTGAATATATTTTGCAAATTTGTTGCACGTCTATTAAAGCATTGCAAAGCAAAAAAATCTGCAAAGGTTGCTTGCATTATTTTACTTTTCTATTGAAAAACATATTTTGCCAATCTATGGGAAATGGTCATCATGAAAATGCTACATGTATAAATAAATTCGGTGGCATTGTCTGAACCATCAGCGTTTAAGGAATATTGCAGGGAATCGCATCCATACACTTGCACAGAAATATGCTGAACTACTTGGTATTCACAGCAAATATTGCAGTTTCACTATGTTTGCTTTTGAGAACAAGCTGCGACTTCGGAAAAACAAATTTGTATATTTTACGCTCATATGTTGTCTTCGCGGTTTTTTAAGCATCTTTATCTGGAAGTTTCTCCAATAATAATGCTTCGCTTTTGCAAACGAATTGACTGGTTTCATACAACGAGATCTAATAATATTTGCTGATTTGAGGTAAAGTCGGTAACTTTTCTTTCTAAAAACCGTATTTATGCATGAGTTATATTTTGGACTTTTGAATTTTCCTTTTTAAAAACTTTATTTTCACAGATACAATATTTCCTTTAGCTCTGATTTCTCGGATTACTC